TTATTGTTTTTATTTTATATATTATCTGACTTTTTTTGCCGTCCGTGAGGAAAATAAATGGGGTTCAGAGCCTCAGAATACTGAAATCTGTATTTTTAAATATTTGTTTCCTTCTAATTAGTTATTATTACATTGCTTTTAAAATCGCTCTGTGTGACACGAAAACAATTGGAAAATCGTGTTGGTGAACACCAATCAATAGATTACATTTCGTGCCTATAACACGAAATCCTGTGAGACTGGGTTTGGCTCAACAAGAATATTTATCTTAAACCTTTCCTAAATATCTCGTGACTACCGCTTTGATGGTGCTCACAGCTTTCAGGGTTATCAAAGTAGTACAGAAACTGCTGTGCCCGTAGGTGCAGCCATTAATACCATTATCTAGGCAGATTTGCATGAGTAAGTGTGGTGGATTTCCTGTGTAGCCAAGGAGCTGTGCAGGAGGTTCTGACCCGAAGCCAAGAAACTGAGACACAAGTGGTCTATCCGTCTGCTAAAACCAGGCCTACAGGCTTTCTCTCCCTATTCGCCCTGTTCTGGTCCTCAAGAGGCAACTATCTTTTGTGCTATAAGAGAGCCAGAGAGGAGGAAATTAATATTCAATGCTAACTCTTTGATAATCGATACTATGATGTCATGCATGCCTGTTAAACTACAATTACCAAAAGTCCATTAAAAACTGAATTGTGTCCAACCTAATATGAATTTGTTACAAAATGTAAAGTCATGTGTATTTAGTATCATTTTAAAGAGTTTTAAGAACATTTTCAATGTTTGGGTGATATTGTAAAAGGCAATTATTTTTGCCCTGAAAATTGTGATATGAAAATGTTTAAATAATATAATTAAATAATGGTCAAAGTTTGGTCAAAGTTTTTTCTTTTCCAACAAATACTTGGTTTTCTTCAGCTTGGGGGAGATGTTGAAAGGTTGGGGAGCTCAGGAAAGACAAACCTGACTGACACTCAAATCTAGGTGATTCCCATTGGAGGTAAAATACTGTATGTAAAACCTTTAAACCCCGGAGAACATTTTTGATGCACATAAAGCTTAGCTAGGACGTAGCTTCCAATAAAACAGCCGATTCAACCTTTCTGTTTGGATGCAGTGGAATAGCCTGCACCCTTTTCCTTAAACTTCTCCAGGGTCCTGGTCTCTTAATGACCAAAAACAATCAAACCAACTACACAAATGTGCTTCACTCAGCCATTCTAAAGTCAACAAGGGCTCATGACTTTAACTAACTCCATCAAGAAGGGCTGTGACTTAATTAAACCTAGAAAACAATGTCACGGACCACAGGGGCCGGCAGTGCTGCCTTGCCAGAACTCAAAATGTGAGAAAAATGCCATTAGCTCAATTTTCTTTACACCTTTTTTTCCCCCTCACATTGCTTCAGGCAAAGCTCCTTGAGCAGACAATCATCATTATTAATTGGCCACTAATTGGCTACTTTGTACTCATTCAGTATCCTAAAGTCCTGCAAATGTAATGCAATTTACATCAAATGTATTCAAAAGTATCTCCTTTATGTGTGTATGATTTAATATACATGCCTACTTCATCATATAACTTTTTAAGTCAAATAAAGTTTGGTGGTACAATTTGGATTAAACCTGTTGACTGCTGGCTTCACCACCTCAGGACTTGGTTATATGGTTATAGGCCATTATCGACTGATCGTTAGAACCAGTTCAGCAACGTGGAAAATGGGATGTTCAGCGTTTGTAGTTGCAGGTTTGTGAAGCAGATGCATTAGCACTCTGAGAAGTATGACAACTCAGAGGTTGCTTAATTAAAAGAAGCCGGCATCTGTTCAGTGAGCGATTAAATATGAGAGGTATTAACATGTGGTATTTAAACTGAATTTTGGCACTATGGTTTCTTCAGCAGATGATTTAGCAAACAGCTGTTGGTTTTTGTGATATGAGCAATATTTTGAACACTCTGCCAAGCTAGAGACGCTATTTTGTACGCTTCAGGTTCTTGTAAGCCATAAGTCTTGCTTGGCAGGGATGGGTAGTTAAGGAGTTGCTTCTCAGGTCAGGTTGGCCGACCTGAGAAGTAATCGCCAGGCTCTGTACTGCAACATCATTTTATAATCCGTCACCATCTCATAGTTAGGTGAACAGAAAATCTGTTTTAAAGTTTGTCCTATTGCCCATTCAAAGGCCTATCGTTTTTTTAAGATACAATAGCCAAACTTTATCACGAAGCAGTAAAGCAAACCTTTTCAATAATTACATTTTAGTGCAACATGACAATTGGTTAAATATGTATAGCACTACAGAAACAAAGATTGTTTGGGCAGCCTCCATGTGCTTTCTTCATACCAACAATAATGACAAAAAACCTTGCATCTGAACTTGTGAAACACAGTGGTCACAGTTATTCAAGCAGGTCATTTATTCAGAAGCCATCATGAACAGTCTCTGTTTCATAGTCTTATAAATGTATGTCAATGGGATTTGCCTACTTTTATCCTAACATACAGCCCGGGATATGAGCTTTTAGAGAGGAGCAGCTCATACTTATCTGATGTACCATGACTAACTTATTACCACAGTACAGGACAGTCACCACAGAGCCTGCTGGCTATGCTCCAAAATGTCAGAGAGAACAGAGGACGGGATGAATAGGTGGGATGCTGTGACAGATGGTGACTGGGGGTCAGAAACAGGACAGCAGTGGTGTGCTGAGTCCCACAGATATCATTCATAGAAACACACACAGAGAAACCAAATGTTGTATGCCACATTTTGACAGGGATTAAACAAAAGACTACACTCCAAAGCTTTCGTTTAAAAATGTCTTACAGTGAACTGGTGTACAGTATGAGTCTTGCTGTAATTTCTTCTCGTAAATTCAACAACTTTGCAATTCATCACATACTTTGACATACAGTCAAAAATACGATAGACGTTACAAAAGTATCTAAATATTAATGTGGTTATTTATGTGTGTTTCTATTTGTTTATTTATATATTATGTATGCCTTGTTTCATATTTTAGTCCAATATGAATACCCATGTTTGCTCTGTTTTCGGTCTCCACCATCTCCTGACAGCTTGCTGCAAGCTTTGCAGTTTGGTGCTTGTGAATTTATGTCCTGTGGGTTTATAATAACTTTTTTGCCGTGTGCTGCGGAAACGTTACGTTTTGCTGATAATTCCCCTGTGAAATTTGACACCCGGGTGTCCGTAGCTAACAATGTTATTTAGCCAACAATGCTATTTACAACCGGGTGCCCATAGCTA